AGTAAACAAGACTTTTAATAGCATTATTATAAAGACTAAATTCAGAAAATAGATATTCAGTAAAACAAACTAGATGAAGTATAATTTATAAATAAGCAGATTCACTAATTAGACTATTAGAATTGGAATAAGGAAAAAACTCTTAAACTAGATTTAAAATATTAAAGACAAGTTACAGTTCTTCTGGACTATCTAAACTAGGAGTTAAAAGAAGATTGCAAGATATACTAAAAACTAGAAATATGCTATAAAGTAAAAACTGAGGTCTTAGATAAATTTATAAAGGCAAGTATTAAATAATAGTAATAGAGGTTAAAAAACTGACTGCAAGTATAAGTTCTTAGACTTGACATAAGTTACTAAAGTTTAGATTAACTATGTGTAAGATACAGAAAGCTTTAGCAGGTTTGTTTTTAAAGATAAAGAATTTTAGAAAAATAGAAGAAGTAATTTGACAAATGAAACTACTATTTTTTGAAGAGTCTGCTTTAAAGTTCTAAACTAGATTTACAAAAATAAAAGGATATAATACTTCTTACTTAATTTGTAAAGTGCTTTATATAGTTATAAAAGGTTTAAATAAGTAATTTTCTAATTGAGTTATAGATATGGCTACTAGTATAGAACTTAGTAATAAATAAACTACTTAAATAGATAACCAAAAGCTGTATATATAACTAGTATATACTTTTTAATATATATACTGTATAAACTATTTTAAAAAAGGATAGTAATTATATAATAAATAGGTTAATCTAATAATTGAATAAAAGTAAACTACCAAGAAGCCACCTTAATACCAATATATATATATATATAAACTAAACAATTTGAATTAAATGTTTTAAAAAAGAATTAGAGATTATTAAATTATTGAAAATATATTGTAAAATTGGTTTTAAGATTTTAATAAATTTTATAAAAATAAACTAAAATTAACAAGAAATAGAAGCAGAAAAAGTTTAATCAAAAAAAAAAAAAACTATAAACAAAACTTTGACTCTAGTACTATATACTTCTAAATTAAATAAGACTTGAATTATAAATAATAAACTATAATCTATTTATATTAACTGAAATACAGTTTATAAATCATATAACAAAAGTAAAATATTTTAGACTCTGTTAGGTTTGCTTTAAGGGCGAATCTATTTGTCACCAGCAGTGACACGGTGACAGTAGCAATTGGCCAATCATGCCACAGGATCAGGTGTAACGTTTGTATAACACGAAAATGAAGAAAACATAGAAATTTTTCAAAAATTCACTATAGCTCAAAATTTTGTCTATAAAACCACCTTTAGCATTCTAATTAAAAAAATTCTTTGCAAAATTTTACTATATACTATGCATTACCCCAATCCAATTCAACTCTAACCCTGACCCTAACAATAAATAACTTTAGTGTTTGTTTTGATTCTGTTACATGATGTGATTAGTCATTACGACTGTCACCGTATCACTGTCGGCGGCAACTAGTTTTTTTCTTACTTTAAATTTAAAGAGCTAGAAGTTAATTATTAAAAAAATAATAGTTTACTTTAAATTTTAAATCATTATAAAAAATAACTACTAAAAAATTTGATTTCTTAAAATTAAAAGTAATAATTGCTAATTAATATAAATCTTAAAATATATATGTAGATTTTCTGTATCAGGTTTTGTTAATTATATGACACAAGCAAAATCTTTTAAAGTTTATTAATATTAGAGTTAGTATTTAGAAAAAGGTTAGAAGTTAGATGCTTAAATAATAAAATCATCCAAGAAATATTTTTTGTCAAAACACTAAAGATAGCTTTTATGCAAATTTTTGAGAAATAAGTAATTTTTAATAAAATGAATAGTTGCTTTGAACTTTTTTAATTGTGTTATATTTTACCTAATTCTTGAAATCTAATTTGTAAATTAGAAAACCTGTATTACAATAATCAACAAATCTGATTCAGAAAACTAATATGCTTGGAGTATATAGGTGCAAAAAACTTAAATTGATAACTTAAGTAGATAGGTTACAGATATAACATCTAATATAGCATCTAGAAATAGATAACTAAAAAGCACAAGTATAGCTAGTTTGTACTTTTCAAATATATATAATGATTTATCTATACAATAAAAACACACTTAATTAAAAATTATCTTAACACTAAAAAAAATAAATAAAAATTCAAAAAACCTTTAAATTATTAATATAGTGATTATGCTTTAAGGTTACTAATTATAAGATCATTATTTTAAATTCCAATAGAAATAAAATTAAAATCAAAACTCTAATTAAAACATAACTAAAGTGTCACATTACGTATTATTGATTTACAAGATGACAATAATACTAATAAAGTAATATAGTAATATCCTCTTGTAGTGATTATATTAGCACTAATAGAATATGAAAGTAAAATAAGTTTTGCTTCTACTTGAGAGTTAAAGCAAAAAGACCGATCTGATCTGGCTAGTAAACCCTCAACTCTGAATATAATAACATATTAGGTAATAATAAAGCAAATATTTCAAGACCAAAATAGTCTACAGAAAACTGAAATATTATAGGAAAAACTAAAAAATCCAGAACATTGTGGTGCTTAATGGTTAACCCTAATCCCAAGTGTGAGCCACATCAAATGTATAAATAGACTTGTAGTTGAAATTGCAAAAAATGGTGAGGCAAAAAAAAAACAAAAAAAAACACAAAGTTAAAATAGTTATATATAAGCGCAAATTATAGTCACTAATTATTAAATTAAAAGTTTTAACATTTAAATTATATAAATGTAATTTTTAACCAGTGTTGCATTTATTCATTTAATAATTTATATGTAAAATTATAATTACTTTTGCCAATCGTTAAAAGTAATTTAAAGTTCACTACAAATACAGATGAATTTTTGTGGTTTTAATTATCTTCGATTAACGCATAGTAATCTTCACAAACTATGATTCACACGAATACAGATGAGTTTTTTGTGGTTTTAAATATATCTTCAATTAACGCATAGTAATCTTCATAAACTATGATTCACTAGTTTGTTATAGGATAGATACGTTAGTTTAGAACAGAATAAACATTACAAGATTGATAAACATTATACTTAACCTAGTTGAATTGTATATTGGTTAAAATTAAACGAAAGAATATAGTATAACATGTATAAAGCAACACATATAGATAGCGTTCAAAGAACCGTTATCATCATAATGCTAATTATTTTAGCTCTTAATTGTAAAAATTTTTCAAAATTTGGCTTATACTGTATGTAATTATATTTACTTCGGGCCTGATTTGTAATTATTTTTATTTTTTGGGCCCTTATATGTAATTTCCCCAAATTTAAATATATTCTTTTTTTTAACAAGCGGCAACTTTAAAAAAACATCTACAAAAAATATTTAAATTTCTATAATGCAGTAAAATAAATTCTAGCATTAGCTACAGTACTATAATTATTATATAAAAAGATTATTAGTAATAAATAAGGGCATAAACTCGATGGATCTTTTTTTCAACTATCTTCTCAACAGTTAAGGTTAGTCTCATTTGAAGCTATGTAGCATTAATTAGAATTAAGTTGGTGAAATAATTGTCAGTGAAACGAAGTTGATCCCATAAAGCTTCTATCATTTCAATCGGTATCACAAAATATGGCTGATGATACTTAAAGTTTAGAATTAGAGTTAAGATTAAAGTTATTAAATTTATTAAAATAAAATTTATAAATAGAATTTGTAAATACGACAAACTATAAAATAAAAATATTTTAATACTATATACGTAGATTATTTTAGTGTATATACTTGATTAAATATATGTAAAAGTTCCTTTTTTTTTGATTATTGAACAAAAGCAACTTCAAAAGTAATAGATGATCATTTCTTGTTTATACTAAATTATCGTTATACGGCATAAAACCTGGAAAACCTAAGGTCAAAAAAAAAAAAAAAAAAAAAAAAAACTTTTTACGCGCTCATTTTAAATTATTCTAAATAAAGTTCATTATGTAGCCGAAATTATATGTACATATATTCAAGCTTAAATATTGGAACTGTCTAAAACTTCTTCTAATCGTTTGACCGCTTAGCCATGTTACCTGTTTAAGTTCAATCAACATTTTGGCCTATCGCTATAACCAACATAACTCGGCCAGAATTTGGGATCAGTTTTTAATCGGGTAAACGGTCTTAATCCTTAGTCAAGCTTCATATTCTATATCAATGTTTTATCATCACAGGTCTATTGATTATATTTGATCAGTATATCAAGATCACGGGAGGATTAATTAATAATACCCTGACCGTATGTGAATAAGCGGAAACTTCGTTTCCGCTAATTCCCAACGGATCAGGATATTATTATTACAAACACTTTTTTTTAAGCACCTTTTATTAAATTTAAAGCGCATTCTTTTTAAGAAAACAATTATCTGTTATCATAATTAAGTATATATTATTATATACAATTTATAAAATTAAAAGTCTATTAATAATATTCAAAAAAAAATTAAATCTTTTTTGACAAGATTTGAAATAGAAATCGATATAGTAAAAAATAAACAATAATTATAATAAAATAGAATAAAATAAACTATTATAAAGAAATATAATGATTGTATGTTATTGATTGGGGGAGAATTTCTTGTTAAAATTACGGACAAATCTAACGTATTTCATAAGAACACTTACGTTTTCCATTAACAAATATTTAAAAGTATTTATTTTATTCGAATCATATAATATTGTATAATCATTTATATTTCAGAACACTCAACACTCATTTCTAAGAAAAATATTCGCAATTGATAATAATTTTACATGCATTTTACATGCGGTTTAAAACATAAAGACAATCTGGTATACGAAATATGATGCAGAGATGAATTCTAAACCATCAGTTTATTCCGTAATTTGCAAACCAAAAAAGTTCTATATATAATACAACCAAAAATAATAAAGATAGCATGATATGTTATGAATAAAGAAATACAAAAATTTGAATTTTTTCTCTATAATTTTTTTTTGATGACTTGGAAGACTTCTAATTCATCAACAGAAAATTTATCTTTAGTCTTTCTAATAGGACCCTCATAAGGGGTGGTAGCTTTATCAAAATTACAATAAGAAGCGCAATCATTTTTGAAATCACCGTTAAAAATCAGAATACCTCGAAAAACAGGACCATGTAAAGGGGAATTACAAATTGAAGAAATGGTACCAACAGATCTACTAAGAATCGAATCATCTAAATTCTCATCCAAACTGAAAACAAAACTATTTTTTACTTCTAATAAAGCGTCGGAAGAGTCCCAACTTACTGGATTGAAACCACCAACTATTTCATCAGTGTTTTTGATTTTTGCTACAACTAAAGTTGGACCTTTTTCATCGCATAGATCATGAAATTCTTGAGGTGTAAAACCATTTCGACTACCTCTAAGAAGTAATTTGAACTCATAAGGAATATTGTTTCTGCTATATATGGAATCGGGTTTTTGATCGATCCATCGTGAAAAGAGATGTAAATGCTTTACACCAATAAGCACTGAATCTACACCCCGACGTTGAGATAAAGGTATGGTAGATTTAGACTTTGCAGTTGAACCAGAATGAAATTTAAGAATCTCGGCATATAAATCTTGATCGATTGCCTCTTTATAAGGTGAGACGTTTTGGAAGAAATCTTCAGATGAGATTTGACCAAATTTGATGAGAGAAATACAAGGTTCGAGGGTAGTACCCAAATTTAAATAATCATCTTTTGACCAATCATCCATACTTGATGGTAAAGATGGAGTATTAGCAATTCCCCATTGAACAACGGCATCCCATACATCAATTTCTTCTATCAGAAGATCATCACGTTGTAAAAGGGAAGTTAAAATGTGTTGTTCTAAAGTGTTAAAATCATCGGCTTTGAAGACCAAATGTGGAGTTTGATCAATAAACTTTTTGATAAATCTTTGTAATTTTAAAAAGTTATTATGTTGTGAGACAATACGTTGAACAAGGCAAAAATTTTGTTGCATTGCTTCTGTCATATTATTAAGAAGATAATCTTGCATATAGTCAAAGAGGTCTTGAAGGCAGAGTTCTTTACAAGCAACAAGAATGTTAAGAACAACTTTTACATCACGTAATTTCAATTCAAGAACTCCACTGTATAGATATCTAATATATATATTTTTTAAAAAAAAAGAAATAGTATCAGAATGGTAAATGATATTATTGATAGGAATTAAGGATGGGAAATTTTGATATAATTGAAAAATTATGGTAAAGTTTTATAGTATTATTATACCAATTATACCAATTTTGTCCATCCTTAATAGGAATTTATAGAAATATTACTTACTTGAGAATAACTTCAAAAGCCTCAGGTAAAATGTTTGGTTTTTCATAAATAATTACATTATCTTGTTTCTGTGCCCATCTATCTGAGAGAGCAGTTCGAAAATAAGGCGACCGAGTGCGCAAAACAATAGAATGTGCACGAAACTCTTTAAAGTGTTCATCATCCCCAATTCGGAGAATAACGTCAGCATAATCCCCACTGTTAAGAACGGACATATAATCTCGGATCAAAACGTCCAAAAATTTTCTGGATGCCATTTCACTTCAAATAACTCCAAAATGCTTATCGAGTGTAAACGTGTGTGGGTGAGTGCGTTTTTTTTTTTTCAAAATGGGACTGGCTATTTGAAGATTATATATTGACAGTAATATAACTATATATATGGATAAATAAAATTTGTAGATGCGAGCAACAAGTCATTTGCACATACAAGTTGTACTACTCTGCGGGATGACATGCATTGACAAACAATCACGTACACATTTTTAGTATGATAATCTTTTTTATACACGTGATGTTTATAGGAACGAGTTTATATCTAGTAAAAACCGGAATCCCGTGACTGTTCTCTACATCAAAAAGGTCGCACGAAATAAGGTAACGGAGAAGCTGGTAAAGAGATAATATTGGACAAAACTCGGAATTAGGTGTATAAGTACGCCGAGGAGAAACAAATAGAAAATTGGTATCCTGAATAATATTAGTGCATGCGCCTGCACCAAAACCGTTTCGTAAGCACATATTAGTATTCCTTATTACTAGATATGTCAAAATAATTTAATATAAGAAATTTCCTTTATAAATTTATGTGCTACTTCACGTGGTTATAAATCGGCAAAGTACATGATTTACATGATCTGTGATGAATTATCGACAATACTGCAATACTGCAATACTGCAATACTGTAATAATGGATTCTAGTTCAGTTCACGAAAAACCCAATATCATTTTCATTATATCCTAATTTAATTTTTTAAGGAAAGATGTAAGGAATGTGAAAAATTAAAAGTATTAAATAATAAATTACTCTTAAAATTTAATTGGCAATTATGATTTTTTAAAAAGAAGCCAAAATTTATTCGGGCAGTCTAAAAAACCGTAGTAGTCCTTGTGCCGTGTGTATTATGACGAATTGAGAAATATGTCGTGATCCTAAGACTGAAGGCATGCGGTCCTTCCAAAAAATGGATTCAAATAATGAAAAAATTGAATACATCATTTAAGAGTAAAGTATTATTCCATTCACAAAAATATCCAGTGTGATGCAATTTTTTACATAATGAAAAATAAAATCATGTGAATTAAGCATTTATGCACATATACATTATTTTAAAAATTGTCTACGTTATCTGTCACACCGGTACTTTGGCGAGCCGAATACGATAAATTATAACAAATGTGTAAAAATCGATCACAGGATCACTAACGTCAATTTGTCGTAATACCCCTTTCGTAATGCCCCTCGTTCACTTATATCCCTACGTGCATATATGACTTTCTAAAACGGGAACTATGCCGTTATGACGAGATTGAGCGTGAGTGTTCCATTGATTTCTTTTAAAAATGAGTATGAATGAGATGCGCTAACGCTAATGCCTTGTAATATTTATTTATATATTAGTCACTTGATTTTTATCTAATACAGTTTGTATAACTTGAATCTCTTCAGGACATTTTATAATTTCCTTTCTAAAGATTAAATGGCTAGTTCGAATGCGTAGATTGACTAATTTTCTTATCGTTATACATTTCATAGACATCCCATGGTTGTTTAAAAATCCTTGATTATAAAACTGTATACGCACGGTCACAAACCGGTGGCAATGAGAAGATTTATTGTTTTCCGGTTTATCACGCTTTATTATAATTATTGATGTTCTTAACTATTGTCAGCGATTTTGGGATGTCTTCATGATAGTTACGTATCTAAGCCATATAAACATATAGTTTATATTTATATGATTTTTCTATTTAATTTTATGGACCATTAGCTGAACCCAATTACAATTAATAACGATGACGATAATAAAATACATATAAAATTTACAATACGTACTAAAATTTAAAAATATATATTGTTAAAAATAGGTGGGTAATACAGATATTAAATTTGCAGAATTAGTGATATGCTAATTATCTTTGTATAATAATTAGGCTATGCACAATTAATTATTTGGTTTTCATAGCTTGGTCGGGCCAAAATTTGAAAACTTGTAAAAAAAAAAAAAAAAAAAAAAAAAAAAAAAAAATTCTTCATGTTTTAATAACCGGGTGGGTTTTTTTTATAAAATTTTATACGTATAAGATGTTTACAACTATATATTTTCATAACGATAATTCCTGGAACATCTGATAAAAATTGCCGAATAATGCTCAAACCGATTTGATTGTGATTTTGGTATGACCCGTATAATTAAAGCAATATATTTTTGTAATGAAGGTCATAACAATATAAACATTGTTAAATTTTCATTTGAATACTCATCAAACATGTTTGGTGTGTTTGTGAGAAAATTTATGGAAAAGGCTATTCTTAAAATATAAAAAAAAAGAGACTCTGGACATATTACACGAATAGGTGCTAATATTAAAAATTCGGTACGAAAGCTTTTCAATACATCTATATCTTTGAAAGTGCTTGAGAACTCGACTTGCTAACACCTAAGTGATATATTTATGCAATAAAGTTGTAACTTAATTACCTCAGTATAAAAAAATTCATCAAACCAGTTTTTAAAATATATCGTAATTAACAATAACAATAGCCTTCACCTTTAATTCAACCAGAGATACGGTATTTGCATAACCTTATACTATTTATATTAGTCACGTATGCATAAGTTAACGAAAAAATAAAAAAGATCGATAAAGAGAAAATCTAAATTTAAAATATAAAAATAAGAGAAAGAAATGAATAGAATAAATATATCGATTGTAAAGGTTAGAATAAATGTAGCGAAAAAAACAATTAAAATTTTTAAATCGATTTTTATTGATATATATGTATGTACGTACGTAGTATACCAATTTTATTGTACTGTATTATGCCAAAATCACAAACTTAATTGAATCAGCAAGAACATCTTTTGGTCAATTTTTTATCAGGTGTTCCAAAAATTATGAAAAAAAAAACCAGGTAGCCGGATCTTTTTAAAAGCTTCATGTTATGAAAACCAAACTATTGGTCTTATAACAAATTTAATATAAAATAATTTCACATTTTAACTACGTATTCAAAATTAGTCTATGCGAATTTAATTGGTTGTCATAATTCAACTGAGGTTTTTAATAAATTTTTACAAAAGCTTTATAGATAAAATTTAAAAAAGATGCCAGCCGGTCGGATCTATCTAAAAATTTTATGTTATGAAAATCATGATATTAAATTTGTATAGTTTTAATTTTAATTTTAATTTTTTTATTTTATGAATTGCAGATTTGTAAATTATATAGCAGTATTTAATCTATTTTAAAATCTAGTTGAAACCTTATTTTTATACTGGTGAATATTAGTATTCACTTCCTATTTTATAATAAAAAATAATTTTTTTATTAAATTGAGAATTAGAATATAGTTTAATTTCAAGATAGAGATCAGATATAATAGTTAAATTTTAGATTATACAAGCAACTGCTGTTAGTTAACTCTTAACTAAAACTATTTTCACAATTTCTAATAAACAATTTAAAAAAAATTCTAATAAACTATTAGCTTTTATAATTACTAAAATATAAACCAAGCTGAATTATTTACTGCCAATTTTAGAAAAATATTCTCAAGTTTTCAAACTAACAAACTTCCTATAGTTATTATCAACACACATCTGCTTTATTTGCAAATTTAAAACATCTCTTGTATAGCTATAAAACAAAGTAATCATACCTCAAACTACTCTGTAGTATATATTTTTAAAAACTTTATTCAGTTTTATAGAACTTGCACTCTATGTATCTATAATATTAAATTTAAACCATTTATCATTACTATACTGATAACAAAACTCTCTAACTATTTTTCTTAAACTTTGATAAATCTTTGTTATAAACAAAAAATATATTTATTATTTTCTTAAACAAGTTTAAACAAAATTAACAAACCTTCAATAAGAAATCTAAAAAAAAACATAAATACTAGAGATATCTTTAATATCTTAACTAGTTTAAAGAGTATTTTATAACTAAAAATATAGAATTACATACAATATCAAGTTTAATAATACTTAAGCCTACTAGCTATTTGATTTTATTAAACTACAGTCAACCCCTCTATAGTCATCTCCTCTATAGTCACAAAATTGGTATAATTATTAATTTATTTTTACTAATTATTTATAACTATATAGAAAATACTTCTATATTAGTCACATCTTTTTATAATCACAGTTTTTTAGATTCTGAAAGTGTGACTATAGAGGGGTTTGACTGTATATCTTTTGAATATCTATTCTAGCAATATTACAAAAACAGCTACAGAAATAACAAAAGTATCAAGTTTAATTATTTTTTAAATCATATTTCAGGCAAATTTGTCTGGAAAATTAAATTGTATTTAGTATTTTTTAAATAAAATAATAATTTATTAATGATATAGGGTATATATTTATTATA